CCACCGCCGTTCATGGAGGCGGCAGGTGACGTGGCAGTTTGAGAGAGAGAGAGGGTTTGCGCTTGAAAGTAAGTGTGAGAGAGAAACTTAGAGTGGAAGTTTGAGAATGAGAGTGCGTATGTGACGACTCACTTTATATAAAAAGTTGTGGAAATTTTAGATCATGAGAGTGTAGTGTGGACTGTACAGTAATCTTGGTTTATACTTTTTCTATGTATCTTACTAATCCTTATCTTATTGCTATTTGATTTCATTAAGAAACTACTCTAAGCCTTAAGGATTGTTTAAAGAGTTTCAAAGATATTACTAATTGATGAATATCTATCATGATTCATGTTGTACCAGATATTTTTAAGATTTCAATGTTTATCGATAAGAGATTGTTTCGGATAATATTTTTTAAATTATTATTATGAAAGTTGATAAATTTTATTATATGTATATCATCGTAGTTATATTATCAGATAATAATGAAAAAAATTATATTATTAAGATATATTTTAATCAAATTTTACTTTTGATTATCGAATAATATCAAATAATTGTTATATATTTATGTTTAATATAATGAGTATGGATTTAGTTAAGTTTATCATTAGTTGAAATTGTAATATTGTACTAAATAAGTGATAAGGATTTTTTTATCAAAGGTTTAATTGATAATGAAAGGAAAAAGTATATGAGGTTTTATTTTGAACAAAGGTCATAATTTCTTATTCTTTAAAAATTTTAGAGGTATTAAAACTTTAACACTAGAAATTAAATTCTAAAATGTATTCCGAAACATTTACCATTTAGCAAACATAGGTTTTGGAACTTAATTTTAAGAAATATATATTTTTTAAAATGTATAAAAAAAAAATACATAAGGCATGAGGAATGCATAAGTAAAAACCGAAAAGGATGCAAAAAGAACGTTAAAAAATTGCAAAAAGCAATTCACTAGCAACTAAGTAGTACAAAAACAACCCATAATCTAGAGATGAGGCCCAATGTTCTTTTTATTCTGCGTATTCTTTTTATTCTGTGATCAGAGGCCCAATTTGAACCGATACATGTGCTTCAATTCAAAATAGATGTGAATTAGGAATTTTTTACTAAAATAAAATTTTTTAAAAAAAAATTACCAAAAAAACATCTGTACCACTTTCTTTACCCAAATAGAACCTTTTACTGTTCACGTTTAGAATTCGGTTCGGAACTGAATTCTGAGCTATTAAATTTTTTAAAATTTTTTTTTTTGCGTTTTTGGACCTGAGAATGGTGTAAAACTGGAATCGGTTGCAATATTTACCCACAACCCGAACTACAAACATAAAAGAAAAAAAAAATTTAAACACTTCTTAGAATTCGGTTCCCCGGGAACCGAATTCTGAGCTAAAAAAAAAAATTGAAGTTCAGAATTCGGTTTCCCGGGAACCGAATTCTGAACATGAACAGTAAAAGGTTCTATTTGAGTAAATAAAGTTGTACAGATGTTTTTTTGGTAAATTTTTTTTAAAAAAATATTATTTTAGTAAAAAATTCGTGAATTAGTTGGATATATAACGGATTACAATATTAGTTGGATCAATTATTTTTCATACTCAGCGTGAAATGGGCCCATGCAAATGCAACTACTAGTGATATACATTGTATAATAAAGACCAAAGTTTTATGTATAGTCCAGGGGATGAAGAAATAAAAAAATACTCCATATAATAATACTACATATTAATAATGATATCCACTACTGAGCCATTTAGTTTGTTTTTTCATTTCAAATTTTAGAAGAAACCCTTCAAACTCTATGATATGTAAAATTAAAAAGTTACAAAAACAACACTTACTAAATGATAAGTAACGGTCATATTCAATATATTCGAAAAGTTATACTAATATTAACTATATAATAAAATATTTTAAAATTTAAATTATTTTTTATATTTATCTCAAAACAAACAAACACAACCTTACAAAATTTTCATATAGTTAATTCATAAATTAAAAAAAAAAACTTTCATATTGTTAACCACAAAAATTTAAAAGATAATAGTAAATCATATAAGTAAACAATTTGAACACTCAAATATTTCAAACACCTCAATAACACTCCACATTTAACATTTCTTTCTTTTTTATCTCCTCTTACTTACCACATCATATATCAATTACTTTTCTCTTTTATGTGTATTAACATATGAGCTATCCACTATGTCCTTGCCTCACCTTACCAAAAAAGATGAGCTATCCATGTTCATGGTCTCAACCAATTACAGCATAACATAACATGTATTTAAAATTTTCAACTTAAAAAAAAAAAAAAAAAATTTCTTAACACAAGGCAAGTAGTTTTGTTCAACGATTTCCCTTGGTCCAAAACGTTACACATGTTACGCTGACCAAATCTATCTACTATACATACCAAGAAAAATTCCTCATTCTCCTCAAGTCGTTGCATGCATGCATGCATGCACCTCATTAACCTTAAGAAACTCGCAACTTTTCTATTATATCATCATATATCTCCCAACTCATCACTCGCTCTTGAACCATCACCGCACCAAAAGAAAATGTCGAACTTCGATGCCCACACGCACCTCGGGATCTCCATCAACCCCGACGGCACCGTCACGCGCCTCTTCAACTCTCCGACCACCGCCGCGAACCCGGAGCCCTTGCCGGGAACCCCTACCGTCTCCAAGGACGTGACCATCGACGCCAACAAGCAAACATGGGTTCGGATCCTCCGTCCCGTGAAGCTGCCCTCCAACGACAACACGGTGGCGCGGCTACCCATCTTGATTTACTTCCACAGCGGCGGCTTCGTCTTCCAAAACCCCGACGACTTCGCCACCAACCGGAAGTGCGTGCAGATCGCCGCCGACATCCCCTCCATCGTCGTCTCCGTCGGTTTCAGGCGGGCGCCGGAGCACCGCCTCCCCACGCAGTACCACGACGCGCGCGACGCCGTGCTGTGGATTAATAGCCAACTCACTGACCCCAACGGAGAGAAGTGGCTTAAGGACTATGGAGACTTTTCCAGAAGCTACCTCTATGGCTGTGGCTGCGGTGCCAACATTGCCTTCAACGCTGCCATCAAGGTTTTTCTTATTTTTAAACAAATGAATTTAGGCTTAAACTAGTGTATATTAATTTAGCTATACAATATATTTTAGGATTTTAAAAAAATCCTAATCAAAATGACTTTCATTCGAAAATATTTGATTTTAATTACTAGCGAAATCATTGTTTTTAGTTTCTACGTTCACGTACGTGTCACTAGTTAACTACTTATGTTTTTTAATGAAGGTGAAGCAATCATTGTAAATACTATGTCACCATATGATAAATCTAAAAGGATATATCTCCAAAATGGTAATCATATTTAATCATAAGATGCAAATAAATAACGTGCATGCTAGAGTAGTGTTCGTCCATGAAAGAGATAAAATGAATACAAGAAAATAATGCAAAACTACTTGCATGCAGCTTGCTGACGATAATTTGGAGCCTTTAAGGATTTGTGGGGTGGTAATGAACCAACCCATGTTTGGAGGGGAAAAGAGGGCAGGATCAGAACTCAAATATGCCACAGATCAAACGTTGCCATTACCCGTGTTGGACTTAATGTGGAGACTGGCTCTGCCTGAGGAGACAGATCGTGATCATAGGTATTGTAACCCCATGGTGAAGGGTCCTCACCAAGATGGTGTTAAGAAGTTAGGGAGGGTCCTCGTTATAGGGTATGGTGGGGACATCATGGTGGATCGGCAACAAGAGTTTGTGACCATGTTGGCCAAGTGTGGAGTGCAAGTGGAAGCACGATTTGACCAAGTGGGGTTCCATAACATTGACATGGTGGATCCTGCTAGGGCTGCCGCGGCTGTAAATATTGTCAAGGACTTTATTCTTGGTTGAGCTAATAATAATTATTGTAAAGCTTTGTAGTTTTCTTCAATTTTTGGTTGGAGTCTTTCTGGTTTTCAAAATTTTAATTATGAAAGTTTTGTAATCATGTCATCATCATGTCCCTATAAATAAGCATCAATTGTTTCAGTTGTACTATGCTTTTCTTTTAAGATCGTAATTATCGTTTATAAATCATGCAATTTAATTAGTATATATCATCTCGCGTGTGAAGCTTACATATCATGTGACTGACTGAGACTCCCTCAAAGTCGATCATTTGTAACTGATTATTAGAGTTTTCAGATATCCATAGAATGTTAAGGACACAAATAATTTACAAGCTGTAGAAACTCAAATTTCGATTTAATTATCCTCCTTCTCCTATTCAATGTTGCCTTGTTTACAAAATGGAGATGGAATCTGAAAAACTAAGATTTTAAAGATCTAAACATGGCAAAAAACAAGACAAACACGTTCAGATCATTCTCAAAATTGCGAAAATTAAAGGACTAACCTCCAGCCATTGTTGTTCACTTGTTTGCTTCAGGTTTTTGAACCCTTGCTCTCAATACGCGATGGTGTTGTATACTGAAGAGGAGAGTAGGCTCAGTGACCCAAAACAGAGATATGCGTCCAATTTATAGAACTCTAATCCATCGTAGAGTCTCTTTGAACGTTAGAGAAAATGTGCGGGAATCATGATACCATATCCGCAAGTTATTTGATAATGGGTTGAAAAATAGACCATATTCATAATATGTTAACTACTTAACAAAAGAGAAGAATCAGGAAAGCATACGTGAAAATCGGAGAGCACGTTGCTTCCATTTACGCGGCTGTTGCAAATGTGCTACTGTTGCAAAAATAGTTTTTTTCAAAACAGTGTATATGCCAACATTCTCCCACTTGGTCCATTTATCCAATTATCAATCAAATAGGAAACCAAATATATGAATCATGGTGATAGGTCCTCTAATAATGAGTATTATCTCCCATGTATCACAATATATTAAGTCTCTCATCCTAAGCTCTTAGCTCTAATGAATAAACCATACGTTTATTCTAGGTCACAATTAAATGAGTTTTTCTCAAAGTAATTAAATAGGTATGTGCACAAGATAAATGAGAAAACATCAAACTAAATAAGAGTTTTAACAAGTAATTACAATGATTGTCACATCATGGAACCAAGCCCCATTCGAGTTACATGATCCTTAAAATTCTTTGGTGGCATGCCTTTAGTTAAAGGATCAGCAATCATTAACTCAGTGCTAATGTGCTCAATGACCACTTTCTTTTCTTTAACACGTTCTCTTATGACTAGATATTTAATGTCGATATGATTACTTCGACTTCCACTTTTATTATTCTTAGCCATAAAAACAGCAGTGGAGTTATCACAATATAACTTCAACGGCTTAGCAATTGAGTCCACAACTCTAAACATAGATATAAAACTCTTCAGCCATACACCATGTGAGGTAGCCTCAAAACAAGAAATGAACTCTGCCTCTATAGTAGAAGTAGCAGTCAAGGTTTGCTTTCTGCTACTCCAAGATACAGCTCCACAAGCTAGCATAAAAACATAGCCAGATGTAGATTTTCTGGTAACAATGCAACCAGCGAAGTCTGATTCAGAGTAGCCTATCACCTCCAAAATACCAGTCCGTCTATATATGAGCATGAAATCTTTTGTTCCTTGAAGGTATCTCATTACTTTCTTTGCAACTTTCTAATGGTCAACACCAGGATTACTCTGATATCTTCCTAAAACTCTAACTGCAAATGCAATGTCAGGTCTAGTGCAAACCTGAGCATACATAAGACTTCCAACAGCTGAAGCATATGGAATATTTTTCATGTGTTCCCGCTCAAGATTATTTTTCGGGCACTGACTCAACTCAAGTTTGTCACCTTTCACGATGGGAGCTACACTTGGTGAACAATCTTTCATGTTAAACCTCTTTAAACCCTTGTTGATATAGGTTTCTTGAGATAAACCCAAAATACCTCGACATCTTTCTCTATGGATCTTAATGCCTATAACATAAGATGTCTCACCCATATCCTTCATATCAAAGTTCTTTGAGAGGAATTGTTTCACCTCGTACAACATACCTTTGTCATTAGTTGCAAGAAAAATGTCATCCACATATAAAACAAGAAAGCAAATCTTGCTCCCACTAACCTTCTGGTATACACATTGATCCATGATGTTTTCTTCAAAACCAAATGAAGAGACAACTTCATGAAATTTTAAATACCATTGGCGTGAGGCTTGTTTTAATCCATAGATGGATTTGTTAAGCTTACATACTAAGTGCTCACCATCACTAGAGAAAAATCCTTCAGGTTGTTTCATGTAAACCTCTTCCTCTAGATTACCATTAAGGAATGTTGTTTTCACATCCATTTGATGTAGTTCAAAATCAAAATGAGCTACTAATGCCATGATTATTCGTAGAGAATCCTTCTTAGATACAGGAGAAAATGTCTCACTATAATCAATTCCTTCTCTTTGAGTGAATCCTTTGGCAACAAGTCTTGCTTTATGTCTTTCAATGTTACCTTGTGAGTCCTTTTTAGTTTTAAAGACCCATCTACATCCAATGGATTTTACACCATGAGGCAACTCAACAAGATCCCAGACTTGATTAGACGTCATAGAATTCATCTCTTCTTTCATAGCATTATACCACAAATTTGATTCCTTAGAATTCATGGCTTGTGAAAACGTTTCAGGATCATTTTCGGCTCCAATGTTATAATCTGATTCTTGTAAATACACTACATAATCACTAGAAATTGCTGATCTTTTGACTCTAGTAGATTTTCTTAATGTTGTCTCATCACTTTGGTCAGGAACTTGTTGTCCAACCGATTGCTCAATAGGTTGTTCAACATTTACGTGTTGCTCCTGGTCAACAACTTGATCTACATTATAATCTTCAACAACTTGTGGAACTTGAATCACTGGTTGTCTAACACATCTTTGAACTGAAGGAGCGTGATTGACTACCAGTCTGTCATTTGATTGAGAGGGTTGAACTTCATAGTGATCCTTTTCAAAACTAATATCTTGAATTAAATCACTCCCACTAATCAAGTCATTTTCAAGAAACTTTGCATTTCTTGATTCCACAATTCTAGTGTTATGAGATTGGCAATAGAATCTATACTCTTTGGAATTTTCAGCATATCCTATGAAATACCCACTAATAGTCCTCGGGTCTAGTTTCTTCTCTTGTACGTTATAAATCCTTACTTCAGACGGACATCCCCAAACGCGTACATGTCGTAAACTAGGTTTCCAACCTTTGAATAACTCAAAAGGTGTCTTTGAAACAGCCTTGGTTGGAACTCGATTTACTATATACCCAGCCATTTTAAGTGCTTCAGCCCACAAGAATTGAGGAAGTTTTGCATTAATCCTCATACTTCTCACCATATCCATTAATGTTCAATTTCTTCTTTCTGCCACACCATTTTGATCTGGAGAACCATGCATGCATAGTGTATTGGGCAACAATCCCATGTTCTTGAAGAAATCTCGTAAATGGACCAGGTGCTTGTCCATTCTCTGTGTATTTACCATAGTACTCTCCACCTCTATCTGATCTCACAATCTTAATTTGCTTTCAACATTGTAGCTCTACTTTAGCCTTAAAAATTTTAAAGGCATCTAAGGCTTCATCCTTAGAACGAAGTAAGTAAAGGTACATATATCGTGAGTAATCATCAATAAAGGTGATGAAGTATCTTGGACTATTTGCGTCCATATCCGAACAACAAATATCTGTATGAATGATTTCTAGTATGTTTGAACTCCTCTTGGAACCCTTTTTGGACTTGTTAGTTTGCTTACCCTTGATGCAATCCACAGAAGTCTCAAAATCAGCAAAATCTAAAGTACTAAGTACTCCATCATTTACTAATCGTTTTATTCTATCAATGGAGATATGTCCTAATCTCCGGTGCCACAACATAGAAGAATCCTCATTCATAACACAACGTTTTAACCCAGAAGAAACATGCATAGAATTATAAGCAGCGTCATTATTTTGCAAATTAATAGAGTAAAGACCATCACGTAATTCACCAAAACCAATAACTTTGGATTTATTCAACAAAGTAAAACCAGAATCCATAAATTTAAAAGAAAAACCCAAAGGTGCAAGTTGCGAAATAGAAATCAAGTTTTTACTAAAACTAGGAACATAAAAAGTCTTTTCTAAATTTAAAATAAAACCACTGCTCAAAACTAAATTGCATGTCCCAACGGCCTCCACATGTGAACTCATCTTGCTTCCTGAATAGATGCATTGCTCACTTCCCATCGGTTTCCTTAGGTTTTGCATACCCTGTAAGGTATTAGAAACATGGATTGTAGATCCAGAATCAATCCACCATGTGTTATGATTAGTACTAGTCATATTAGATTCATAACAAACAAAAGCAAATAAATTACCTTTCTTTTCCAGCCAATTCTTAAACTTCAAACAATCCTTCTTCATGTGTCCTTTCTTTTTACAAAAGAAGCACTTGGATTCTTTCTTAATAATTGGTTGAGCTGGAATCTTTCCCTTCTTATTATCTTGATTCTTCTTTTTCTTAAAAGAACCAGTTAAGAGCACCTGCTCTCCTTCTTCCATCATTAACCTTTCCTCTTCTTGAACACACATGGTCAACAATTCATTAATAGACCACTTATCCTTATGTGTTTTGTAAGAGATTTTAAAGGGGGCATAATGGTGAGGCAAGGTGCACAAAATATAGTGCACTAGGAAAGAATCAGACATGGTAACCTCTAAAGCTTTCAGTTGAGCCACAATGTCCCTTATGCGCATGATATGATCAGGCACTCCTTTAATCCCAGTGAGCTTTAAGGATGAAAACTGCATCATAAGGGTGCTGGCAAGAGATTTATTAGATGTGGTAAATTGTTCATCAATAACCTTTAGTAAATCCTTGACATTGTCATGCTGGTCAACAGAACCCCGAATTCTAGCAGAAATGTTGGTCTTTATGAGCATCATAGAGAGATAATTTGACCTCTCCCATTTTTATAAAGATCAACTGCATCTGGAGAGCTGGTCTCAGTAATACCCGGTGGTGCTAGTTTCCTAATAGCATAGTCAATGTCCATCCAGCCT